AAAAAGAACATACTACCACCACCATATTTTACTTTTGGTATGGTGATGGTCTGGGGCTGTTTTGCTGCTTCAGGACCTGGAAGACTTGCTGTGATAAATGGAACCATGAATTCTGCGGTTTACCAAAAAAAATCCTGAAGGAGAATGTTCGGCCATCTGTTCGTGACCTCAAGCTGAAGTGAACTTGGGTTCTGCAGCAGGACAATGATCCAAAACACACCAGCAAGTCCACCTCTGAATGGCTGAAGAAAAACAAAATGAAGACTTTGGAGTGGCCTAGTCAAAGTCCTGACCTGAATCCTATTGAGATGCTGTGGCATGACCTTAAAAAGGCGGTTCATGCTCGAAAACCCTCCAGTGTGGCTGAATTACAACAATTCTGCATAGATGAGTGGACCAAAATTCCTCCAAGTTATCGCAAACGCTTGATTGCAGTTGTTGCTGCTAAGGGTGGCCCAACCAGTTGTTAGGTTTAGGTGGCAAACACTTTTTCACACAGGGCCATGTAGTTTTGGATTTTGTTTTCCCTTAATAATAAAAACCTTCATTTAAAAACTGCATGTTGTGTTCACTTGTGTTATCTTTTACTAATATTTAAATTTGTTTGATGATCTGAAACATTAAAGTGTGACAAACATGCAAAAATATAATCAGGAAGGGGGCCAACACTTTTTCACACCACTGTATATATATAAAATATAAAATCACATACATACATGCATACACATGCATATATAGTAGATACATACAGTGTTGAAAGTTTATTTTGGCTTTAAAATAAAAGTCACTCAATAGGACTTCAGTGCATTCAGTGCAGTGTCTGGTGCAGAAAGACTGACCTTGTGATTGTAAGAATCGGCTACATAGAGGAGGCTGCTGCCCTCATCCCAGGACACTCCTAATGGATGCTGCAGTTTTGCATCTATGCCTTTACCATCAACGTCTCCAAACGCAAAAAGGTTCTGCTCAAGCAAAGAAAAAACATACTCTTTAAAGGTCATGCATGATTTCTTGACCGCTTACCCATGCGAACAACATTGCGAATGTATACATGAGCCTATTCTGTATATTTACTCAATCACAGCGCTGCGGTGGTCTAATGTACAAAATAAGTCACTGAACATCACAAGGGAAGAAAAAAAAAACCTCATTAATCCCAGTGACCAAATATGGTGAAACCCAATCCATTCTCAGCCAGAAGAAAACAGTCTACTCAAAGGAAATCTAGCAGATCTGAAAAATGTCTCGACTGCTCCAAGGAATGGAGAAAAATTGTTTCTCATTCAAATCGCCTAGGTTCATTAAGTGATAAAAATTGCTCCACGACTTCATTTATTAAATGTCTCCTTGTATTATAGTAAGCTTTGGGATCTTGTAGTGCCAAACAAACTTGTACAAAGAAGTGCTTTACATTGCATGTAATCAACTGTGATAATTTATGACCCCATAAAAATTCAAATCTCTACATGTGGTGTTTTTCCTTATGTGAACTGGACAACAACACACTCCTTCCCTTATAAAGCATGTGCAGGGAAGACAAAGTACTCAGTAGGGAGAGAAATTATCTGATACTCATCAGAAGAAATAAAGGTCTGCCTGACCAAAGAGCAGAGTCCTCACAAGAGAATTTTAACACCTTTAAACTTCTTGGTATCTGATTGGCTTATAATTCATTGCATTAACCCGGCTAATAATGTATAAAGACCTTTTAACTTGTAAATAGATTAGACTCTTTATACAGGTTTATAAGCATTGATTTACTTATAAACAGCCCGTTTAAAATTACAAATTTTATAAACTTTTGCTACACAGTGAGCTTTTCACCCATAGTATTGTTGGGTTTTTTTGGGTTAAAAGTGACTTTAATAATATTAATGAAAATGATACCTGAAATAAATTAAGACTAAATAAAATAAATAAAATATAAATATTACAATAAAAAACTAAATATTAGATAAAAATAAGAAATTTTGCTTTGGCAGCTAACTGATTTAAAATAAGTTAAAGCACTAAAGTTACAAAAGCTACAATGCTAATCTAAAAACACTGTCAAAAGCATATAAAAAAATAAAATAAATAAAAATCACAAAAAAAAAAAATTTAATATAAAAACTATAAAAATAAAAGCTAATTCAAAAGATTAATAAATACTGTGATAGTAAACAATACTACAATAACATATCTATTATACTAGATATCATCTGGCATCAATATTATTAAAGCCACTTTATTATATTAAAGTGTTATAGGGGTGCATAAAACAAAAAAAAAAAAGGGTGAGAAACACTGATCTTTAACATGTTAAACCAGGGGTCACCAGACTCGGTCCTGGAGGGCCAGTGTCCTGCAGAGTTTAGCTCCAACTTGCCTCAACACACCTGCCTGGATACTCACGTATCCACCTTATTCTTCATGTTAAAATGGGCGTGGCCATTTGTAAATGATATTGGTCTTGCTTCCGGTCTCATTTGCTTCCAGCTATTTTTAGCTGTACAAAACCACTCGTTTTGCTGCTTGATACTGCAAATAGGTGTATCTTACCATATTATTTTAGTGTATTATCTTAATTATGAACACTGGTTTGTAATGCAAACAGTTTTACCATTTACTGCATGTTGCTTTTCTTCTCTTTTCCCCTATAGCTGCTAATGAACCAGAAGTTTCGCCCATAGGCTTATTCTGAGTTTAGGAATAAGGTTGATACCCAGCAAGACCTTGATTAGCTGGTTCAGGTGTGTTTGATTAGGGTTGCAGCTAAACTCTGCAGGACACCGGCCCTTCAGGACCAAGTTTGATGACCCCTGTGTTAAACTGTTCAGACCTGTAAACATGGCAGGTAGGGCTTACCAGAGGGTCTCTTTCTCCCCCCACCACATGTTTGACTGCTCCATCCTTCAGTGAAAGGCTACGAATGGTGCTGCTCTCACTGTCAGCGATAAAGAGACACTCCCAGGGCTCAGTCGGAGCAAGAGCCAGGCCTGACGGCTGGGCCAGACCCACTTTATGAGGGTATGCGTTATTTCTGTTCTCCTCATTCCCACTGCCCGCAAAGCGCACACATGTTCCTTTTTTGCTGTCGCTGGAAAAGGCATTAGATAAAGATGGTTAAGTCTGATTACAATGATTATATGGAATAGTTACTGCTCTTAATTTGGCTGACTCTAAAACAAAAGCCGGAATTGTGACAAAATAACTGCAATTAGGAACTAATAGCATGTAAGGGCAAAAAAAGTCTCTGGCACATGGTGCCAGAAAGTCTTGAGATTATTACATTTAATAAAGTATTTCCCCCCGCATGTTCTTTATCTGAGATATTAAAGCTGTTACCAGTGCTTGCTATGGCTCTAAAAACATCAAGAGAAATGTTACATTTGCGAACAACACACCAAGTTAAGAGTTAATTTTTTATCAGGGCAATCAGAACAATTTCCGCCAACAGTGAACTGTGTGGCTGCCCAGAAAATGACATCACTTGGGCAGTCCCGTGGCCTCTTTATTTGAACGCTGCCTTGACTGTACAGAACTAACATGAGGAGAACACAGGGAGAAGAGCTCACCTCCCTTTGGGAAGCTTCCCGTCCTCCAGGAAGAGAGCCCAGATCTGATGCGTTCCTGCCATGGCTATGCACAATATATCACCACCTGCATAAACACAAACACACGCTATCAAATAGTAAACAGCTTACATGTTTACAACATATTGATGTTGATTATCTTGATACAAATAAGAACTAATTCTTAGTCAAGTACACATTAAATGAGTAAACTCGCATAGCCTTCATATCACATTTTATCTTTTCGGGCTGCATAACGATAATTTTACTAGATCTCACCAATGCATGCATGGTCATTCCACATTGTAAATGAGATCGCTTATATTCACATAAAGTAACATATGTTATCTGATGTAGGCGTCTGATTTAAAGGGATAGTTCACCCAAAAAGTCTGTCATTAATTACTCACCCTCATGTCGTTCCAAACCCGTAAAAGACCTTCGCTCATCTTCGGAACACAAATTAAGATATTTTTGATGAATTAAGAGAGCTCTCTGACCCTCCCATACACAGCAAGGATCCTAACACAATCAAGGTCCAGAAACGTAGCAAGGACATCATTAAAATAATCCATGTGACATCAGTGGTTCAACCGTAATTTTACAAAGCTACGAGAATGCTTTTTGTGCGCAAAGAAAACTAAAATAATCACTTTATTCAACAATTTGTCTCCTGCACGTCACCCTATAGCGCCATTTTGTAGAGTATCACATACGTAAACAACGTATGTACATGGATATGTTGTTGTTTATGTTGTTTACGCTTTGATCTGAACGTAAACAATGTATCCGCGCACATAGGGTCCTACCACGATCAAGGCACAGAAACGTAATAAGGACATCGTTAAAATGCTCCATGTGATATCAGTGGATCAACCATGATTTTATGAAGCTACGAGAATATTTTTTGTGCGCAAAGAAAACAAAACAAAAAAACTACTTAATTCAACAATTTTTTTCTCCTCCGCGTCACCCTGGTGCCATTTTGCACGTCACCCTATAGCGCCATTTTGTAGAGTATCACATACGTAAACAACGTATGTACATGGATATGTTGTTGTTTATGTTGTTTACGCTTTGATCTGAATGTAAACAATGTATCCGCGCACATAGGGTCCTACCACGATCAAGGCACAGAAACGTAATAAGGACATCGTTAAAATGCTCCATGTGATATCAGTGGATCAACCATGATTTTATGAAGCTACGAGAATATTTTTTGTGCGCAAAGAAAACAAAACAAAAAAACTACTTAATTCAACAATTTTTTTCTCCTCCGCGTCACCCTGGTGCCATTTTGGAGTGTATCACGGTGCATGCATGTGCTTTCCTCTGAATGTAAACAAGGTGCAGCGCATGCGTGTTCTGCGTCAGCAGCATCACGCGCATGCGTTGTTTATGTGCAGGAAAAAGTACGTTCATGCGTCGTGATACTCTCCAAAATGGCACCAGGGTGATGTGGAGAAGATTTGTTGAATAAAGTTGTAATTTTTGGGGGTTTTTTGCACACAAAGTATTCTTGTAGCTTCATAAAATTACGGTTGAACCACTGATATCACATGGACCATTTTAACGATGTCCTTGCTACGTTTCTGGACCTTGATTGTGGTAGGAACCTTGTTGTGTATGGGAGGGTCAGAGAGCTCTCAGATTTAATCAAAAATATCATAAATTGTGTTACAAAGATGAATGGAGGTCTTATAGGTTTGAAATGACATGAGGGTGAGTAATTAATGACAGAATTTTCATTTTTGGGTGAACTATCCCTTTAACTACCTGCCCCACAAACGCATCCAGTTACAACAAAAAAAGCAATAATTCTATATTATACTATATAGACTATTAACTATTATTAACTATTGGTCTGTGGGGAAAATCTCAATATTTCACCCAAAAAATGTAGTAAAGGAGCCTGAACTAATTAATTAATTCATCTAAATATTATGTAATATAATGTATTATTTTGTTTTGTATATAGTTTAATATTTTATATGTAATAATATAAATAAATAGTGATTTTTTTGTTTCTAAAATGTATTTTATAAAATTTAGTTTGACTTTCTAATGTTTTCCATTGGTTTAGATTTGCCTCTTTTCACTGACCCTTTGTGAAAAAAAAAAAATGGTGACCATATTGATGTATTCTATTTGTGGAATGTGGCAAATGACAAAGTACTGAAATGCTCTAGTGCACTGAAAACATAAAAGTATGCTATGGTGTCCAGCACAGAGTGACCTGAACTGATGAATTTACATTAGAAATCAGTTTAAGTACCATGTGGAGGGGCACTAATACTTGAGAGCATTGCGCTGCGATTTCTTTTTGAGGAATCAGAAATGAGGTGCTCTGTACTTGTGTCTAACAATAGACCTCTAATGGTACTGCGCATATCAGAGACAATTTCATTGCTGGGCTGGAGCCTAACAACTTGCATTCATGAAAGAGTGAGACAGAGGGAAAGAAAGAGTGAGGAAAAGAGAGGGGGGAAAAGATTGAGATGGAAAGGAAAGGAAAGAAGCAGAACTCTCCCCAAGCAGGTTTTCAAAGGGATCTGAGATGGATGGAAGGCAAACGAGCCAAAGTAGATGAAATTTGATGAATGACAAAAGACATGCTGCAGGATTTCCACATTACAATTAAACTTCAAGGTGGAAAACGAGTGAAAAAAGGGAAATACAAACCAGACAGATGGTTAAGGAAATATTATGAATGATGAAATGGAAATTGCAAATATTACAGTAGGTTCCGATATTGTCATATACAGAGAAATTAATTTCAAGAACCATGTTGTTTCTAGCATCTCCTCCTACTTGAGCATTCAGTTTTCTTAAAAACAAATCACACACACACACATATATTTATAAAATTTGCTGTACGAATACGTGTACCATTACACCCCTTATGTATGTGTGTACATATATAAGGGGTGTAATGGTACATGTATTCGTACAGCACATTTTCATGTCTTTCAGTTCGGTACATGTGAGTACATGTGTACACAACAAATACAGTGTTGTAGCCTTTTAACCACCAATAATTGCGATACTCTCTGTGTTTCGTTTCTGTCAATAAGAAACAAAGTCTCATCTGTCAAATTCTGTCCATTTTTACCAGGAAATTTAAACAATAAATGCTGTTTTGCGCTCTTTGATGTGGCGTGACAGATCTGTTTAGACACATCAGTTCAAGCAGCAGTGTGGAGTGCGAGTGAATGCGATCATCTCTTCCTCTTTAATACCGTTTACTACTAGTTGCTGCATGAAATAAACATGAATGAACACGTGAAGGTATGTTGAAAGATCTTGTATGTCTCAGAGTTTTAACCGTGGAAAGACACGGTTACGCTAAATGTATGTCCTCTATTTGCTTATATATATTCATTATATTTTACTTAACCTGAAGTAGAAACATAACTTTATAATTAGATTTTGAAGTTAATGCAAAAATTGCCTTACATGCAATTTAAAGGGGTCCTATTATGCTTTTTCAACTTTAGTTAGTCTGTAATGTTCCTGTTTGAGCATAAAAAAGATCTGCAAAGTTACAAAGCTCAAAGTCCACTTCAAAAGGAGATATTTTATTTAACAGAAATCACTTTTCAAAAACTACAATGAACGTCTCGTTTGGACTACAACGCATATTTTCCGGGATTTGTGATATCACAAAAACCAACGAATGGGACGAGACCTGGTTGAGCTGCACTAGAGAAGGCAACAAGTGTTATCACTATGTCGGAGACACGCTAGCTTTCCCAAGGCAGACGAACTTAGAGTGGTTACAATCATCCGGGTTTAAATCACACTCAAATTGATTTGATTTTGACACAATATTTACAATGAAGCTTGCAGGCGGCTATGGTAAGGGGCATCACATTTCCCGACCAGGCGCCGAGTGCTGCCAATCACAACACACAATGGCCCAACTAACCAATCACTGCACATTTCATTTTAAAGAAGGCAGGCTTTCATTTGATACAGGAACTATTTGAGTCATTCATGCCAGACTGGGGAGAGAGGTGTTGTAATAATGTAAAACATGTGAAAAATAATGTGTTTTTCGAACAACCTAGTATGAGAGCCTGTTCTAGTACATCCCCAAAACAAAATCAAGACTTTGTAAAAGAGCATAATAGGACCCCTTTAAAAGTTTGTACACAATTTTTCTTTTCTTTTTTATTTGAGTGTTTATTATTGTATAAAATAAACAGAAACCGAATCTAATAGTTTTGTATCTGTTATTTGTAACCTTAATATTATAGTAATGTGTAAGTAAAGAGCTCCAGATTACAACAAAGATAAACAAATCTATACATAAATTCTAATTGTATTTAAAGACAAAGACACAATTTGTTCAGTAAACCACTGTTTAAAAATAAATAAATAAATAAAAATGTATATTTAGGTTTCTTCCCCCTGCTGTACCAAACTATAATTTTTGTCTATTGTGACACACCTAATATATATAATTTTTTCCCTTAACCTATGTATTAACGCAATGGTAGGGCTGTGCGATATTGAAGAAAAATGCGATACGATAATGCTTTAAGTGCCAAATGCGCAGATGTTTTACTCAGCTGTTGTGGAGTCAGTTCTGTGAACTTCTATAACTATCTTGTGTCATAAATATATAGTTATTTGTATGCATGTATGTATCAAGAGCTCCTGTAAAACCACAACAAATTCCTTGTGTTTGCGCACACTTAAGTGGTGAATAAAGCTCATTCTGATTCTGATTCTAATATAACTAGCATGTTTCATTTTTTTGTGAGAAGAAAGCACCCCTACAACAACTTCTGAAAGTTAACGGTAGTGTTTTACTCTAGCACTACATTAAAATGTCATTTTAACATGAGTTTAGGAACTGAATAATAAAAAGGAAAAATACAACACTGCTTAGTATTTACTCTATGAATTCAATATGCACCGATTCTTATTTAAGCTACAAAAGTTATTTAGGTAAGAGCAGTGATTTTCTCTTTGTCTTTTGTTCATGGTCCCAAATATTGCAAGCCGTAGCAATATGCATATTGTGATATGTACATTTGCGATATTTCGATATATTGCACAGCCCTACACAATGGTATAAAACTGCTACATCCTAACCCTTTTTATCATTTCTGAACATAGAATTGGCATTGTTAATGTGTAAGTAGATGACCTTATGTTAATTAATTCAACTTTCTGACTTCAGAAATCAAACAATCTGGAATGAGCAGCTTCTGTGGCTTAATTAATAGTTAATAAATGGTCTTTTGAACTGGAGGAAGCTTTTATTTCAGAAGTGAAAATTCTGATTTTATGACCACTTTAAATCAAACTTTCAAAAAGACTGTTGCATTAAACAACACATGAAAGGAATACAAATAAAAGGAAAGGAAGAAGGAAAGAAATGGAAATAATAAAAGTAATAATAAATAAAAGTAAAACGGCATCAGGGACAACAGCAGATGCATAAAGGAACAGGAAACAGCGATATCTTATTTTCTTCGTAGGATAACCTGCAAGAAAGCAACCGACTGTTCAGGGAACAGACCTAATGCACAGCGGGGACCATCAATGAATGTGCTCCAAACTCACGCGGACTAAATCAGACACACACCACACAGACCACTTTAAATATCTCTCTCTCTCTTGGCTAATGCTGGCGACATCAATTTCTTCAGCTGTTTAATGGAACGATATGACTGAATAATGCAGACTGATTTAATAATGCCTTAAAATATAAAGTAGGAATTTTAATTATGTTTTAGAAGCATGTTAAATTAAATTTTCTCAGACCTGTAGGACATCTTGTCCAGGGCCGCTGTGTATAAAGATATTACTGCAAAACAAAAAGGGGCAATCTTCGACAAAAACAGTTTGTTAGAGGCACCATTTATCAGAAACCACAGCCACATGAGTGCTTTCTGATCATATCACCTTCTTTTTCTTTGGTGTTGTGGGTTTAACTCAGGCAACACCACAACATTCAGCTCTGTGTCTCTGGTTAGCAACTGACAGACCGTGCAATTTACTCCAGGGCTGCTTCCAAACAACAAGAGGCAATTTTAGCAGAACAAAGATCTTTTTGCACCCCGCACCACACACACTTGTGAAAATCAAAGGCGAGTGTGGTATCTACAGAGCGAAGACTTCTGAGAACAACCTGATTAAAGATTCCAAGATGGACAAGACAGATAGAGAGAAGATGTGAGAGGCAGAAAAAGGGATGTATAAAATGCTCCCGGCAGAATAATGAAATGCAGATTCACAAGATATTAAATTTTAAGAGCAAGGTAGAAAAAAAGGCAGAGTGACTCTAATTCTAAAGGAAGGAGCAGAGTATACTGGATGAGGATGACCACTAAAAGTACCTGCGTTGCCAAGGGCAACGTCCCAGGGAGAGCTGATTGGCTGTTGTGGTCCCGGTGCTCCGCCTTCTTTATCTGTGCCTTGAACGCCAACGCCAGCTAAGGTCGAGACTTTTCCTTCTGAAAGGTTGATCTTGAGAAGAAAAAAAAACAAACATCAGATTTTATTGAGGACAGAGACAAGCGGTTTTTGAAGCACCAATCAGAGTGAATTTGGGTTAGAGTTGCCAGCAGGAGAACAAGCTTGACCCGATTCTGCTGATTTACCTTTCTAACAAGGTGGTTCTCAGTGTCAGCCACGTAGACCGTGTCTCCCTTTATGAACACCCCTTGTGGGGAGCTGAACTGTGCCTCAGACAAATTTCCATCTCGTCTCCCACTTGAAGGACCTATGAAGGCAAAGATAAACTTGTAAAAGTAGACTAAAATAGCCTCAAAACCTTCACCAAAAAGAAAATTAGCAGTTTTTCTATACTTAAAATATAGGGCAGTTGGCAACCCTAATTTTTTGGAACCATCCTGCATTTAAGGAAACAGAACTGCATTTCAAGGACGGATGCAATTTGCCCCATATTTCAGGTTGTAACACCCAAACAGCTACAAAGAACATGCTTTTTTCCAGCAAAGAAATTCACTCTTGCATAGTTTTGCTATCAGAATTAGGTTTCATTTAAAAATAAATAAATAAATAAAATAAAATAATATATACAGTGTATATACAGTGGGGAAAAAAAGTATTTAGTCAGCCACCAATTGTGCAAGTTCTCCCACTTAGCAGATGTATTGCTCAAGAAACATTTCTTATTATTAGCAAATATTGAAAACGGTTGTGCTGTTTAATATTTTTATGGGAACCGTGATACTTTTTTTTTTATTGCACCCTTTTACTTCAATATTTACTATATGTAGGCCTACAACTAGAAAATTAATTGATTATAAGGTTTGAGGAGCCTAATAGTAACATGCTCTTATCACTTTAATGTGGAATATTTCCAAGAATATTATTGTATATAAGAAAAAAATGACACTTTCTCTGTCTCTAATGTTACAGAATGTCCAGATGGTCTTCATTGTACATCCTTCATTCCCAATCACTTCAAGAGATACAGCCACTCTCTACTTGCTCAGAGTCGAGCGTTAAACGACTGCACGACCCAGGCCATCTCAGACTTCAGCTTGAAGTCAGTTAATAATGTTGCACCTGCATCTGGTACGGAGAGCTCTGTGGACAGCGCTGTGAATGTATCTGCTTCATCCAGCCAAAGTTCATGTCCTGGTGATGGACCAAAGGGAACTCCCACCCAGAGTAACGCACTGCTGCTTTTGCGCTCCCCTAATACTGAAGATATCAAGAAAAAGAAAGGTTGGTCTCCTTCTGTCAAAAGATCGCAATCTCAGAATTCCTCACAGGAAGCAAGAATGAAGACTTCAAATCCAGCTAAAGCACATAGTTTTGACAATGCTGTTCAGACACAGGCTAATGAGGTTAAAGCCGAGCTCTTCGAATGTAATGATGGTGATTATATCTCCTACTCCCCACTCTCTGAACTTCCAAATGTGGATAAGGAGCACAGAACTAATATAGAGATTCACAGTACTGCACTGCAGGAAAATGAGGTTGATGAAGATTCTCTTAAACTGTTCAGCGATGAAGATGATGATCTATTCTATAATATGCTGGACCACTATGAGACAGGGAACATGGAACATGGACCAGACAAAAACTCATTAGACACCTGTGAGAAACTGCAGACATCATTAGCACCCGATGATCACCTGATTAATTCCAGCTCCACAGGTGTTTCTGATGGAACATTTCAGCATGGACCTCAATCAATAGGAAAACAATCCACAACAAATCCTGAAGATCCCAACTCACAGCTACAGTCACCTCAAAGTTTGGTATTAGAGTGTCTTCGGGAGCGCATATCTAATCCTGTACATGCCAACAGTTATATAAACCAAGAGTTGTCTTCCACCCAAACAGCCCTAACTCAGAAAACACCATCTATGGCTCCTAGGAGAACTCAGACTAAGGCAGGTCCCTCTGGATTAAAGCAAACAGACATTGGGGTGTTTTTTGGCTTGAAGCCATTGAATGAAAAAAAGGCTGAGGAGGAAGTGAAGGCAACGGTCAGAGAAACCGATCAGCAAGGGTCTAGGAGAGCGAGGATTTCAGAAACTCAGGGGGAAGACGCTAAGCTCCAGGATAGACGGCGTAGGAAGAGCAAAGCTCCATCTGAAGTGTCCAGTGTCTTGCCTGCTGCAGAAGATGGTACGACTCGGCCCACGCAAACAGAAGGAAAGCGAGGAGGGAGGGCAGAGAGGCAGAAATGGAGCAGAGGAAGAACGACAGATGGAAATCCCAAGGAGCCCAAGCGGTGTCCATTCTACAAGAAAATTCCTGGTTTGTGAACTGCTTTAATGCTTTTGTTTAGACCTACTTAATACCAGTTGTTAAGATTGCATAAGCATTTACACTTTCGGTCTTAATAGCTTGTGCCAGAACTTTATTGTACTAGATGTGTTTATTCTTTTACTCCCATAATAACTGTTATTGTTTAGCTTGTTTTGGTCTAATGTGCTTTGGAGAATATAATATGCTTTTTCTCTGTTTAGGAACTGGTTTTGCTGTGGATGCTTTTCAGTATGGAACTGTTGAAGGTGTCACAGCCTACTTTCTCACTCACTTCCACTCGGACCACTATGGTGGCTTGAAAAAAGACTCTGTTTTACCCATCTACTGTAACAAAGTATGTATCCCAACCTCATTGCGCTTTAAGAATAATGAAAGCAGGATTTTCCTTGCTCTTTGGAAAACTGAAGAGTTCAATTTACTATATAGAAATTGTCTAACATTCACAGTTCCCTCCCAAGAAACTAAAGGGATGGTTAACTCAAAAATAAAAATTCTGTCATTATTTAATCACCCTCATGTTCTTCCAAACCTTTCATTTCTATTCATTTCTTTCTTCTTTGAAATACAAAAGAGCATTGGGAGCCACACAGCTTTGAAGACCATTGACTTATTTTGTATACACACACAAAAAAACACTAAAGCACATCTCAGTGTTTTCTTTTATATTCCACACAAGATAGCAGGTCATACCGTTTTGGAGCAACATGGAGTTGTTTAAATCATAAGTAAATCATGAAAGAATTTTCATTTTTGGTTGAAATTTAAACCTAACACTTTAAACTTCAAAAATGTGTCATGGTTATGAAATCAGGAATATCAACACATTGACATGAAACATCACAAATTGACATAAATCAAGATGAAAGTGAAAAATGGAAAAACAAATGGGGAAAGCAAAATCCCAATGAAGAAAAGAAAATGTTTTATTTTTTTCTCAATGATGGTGTCAGGGAGGATTTGCTCTTGACTGAATCTTGGATTTCATGACTAACTGGTGTTAATCATGGCAGATAACTGGTAACCTGGTGAAAAGCAAGCTGAAGGTGGGTGAGCAGTATGTTCATGTTCTCCCAATGAGCACAGAGTGTATGGTGCAAGGAGTGAAGGTCACTCTCCTGGATGCTAATCAGTGAGTGTATCCTCTAACTAATAAACATTTGAAGCAAATGTTATTACTTAATAAAAGGTTCCTATGTTCATACAGAATGACAAGACCTTAATTACTATGACTGTCCCCCCCCCCAGCTGTCCTGGGGCAGCCATGTTGCTATTTGTTTTGCCAGATGGCCAGAAGGTACTCCACACAGGTGACTTCCGGGCTGATCCGTCCATGGAGCGCTACCCAGAGCTGCAGGGTCTCAGGATACAGACCCTCTATCTGGACACAACGTGAGTTCCCTACTAATAAAGCTACTTTTTGGTGCTGCGTTATGTGTTGCCCACTTTGATTGCATCAACTGAGATGGGTTATAGGGTTGAGATTAAAAACAAAATAAAACTTTTTTTTTTTCTCCATAGGTATTGCAGTCCTGAGTATACATTTCCCACTCAACAGGAAGTCATCACCTTTGCCGTAAACACAGCTTTTGAACAGATCACACTGAACCCTCGTACACTTGTGGTTTGTGGCACCTACGCAGTTGGGAAAGAGAAGGTTTTTCTAGGTCAGTGAGCAATGTTGTCCTGCTTTGTCCAGACCTCTTGTAGACCTTGTGCTACTTCATCCGCTCTTGAAAGGATAGATTGTTCACTTTTCTATTATCCGTGACCGTCATGCTCACTCGTGAATGAGGCTTGTATAAAATAAAACGGTTTAAAAAAGAGGTTTGCAAATGCTGTCCTAAATTGACTTTGAAATTTTGTTCCTGTTCCACAGTTTGTCTGGCTTCCTGTTCATTTTAGAAAATGCATCCATGATTAATGTCCTGCACCCATTTACTTTTAAAGCTATGATTACTTAGTGTCCCACTGTGGACTGTTAGACTAATTTTCATTCATTCCTTCTTGTCTATATAGAGATATATAAAAAATGTTTACCTGTTCCTCTAGCTATATCGGAAGTGTTGGGCTCGAAGGTGTGTTTGTCCAAGGATAAGTATAACACCATGTGCTGCCTGGAGTCGGAGGAGATTGGCCAGCGCATCACTACAGACTGGCGGGCGGCCCAGGTGCATGTACTTCCCATGATGCAGCTCAATTTCAAAGTGAGTTGAACTACATTTAAAACTTCTGTGGCTTGTTTGTCATATCTGTAAGTTTTAAATGATCAAAATGAATTTTTATCATCTGCATTTTTTGCTTTTTGAGTTCATAAGTGTATAAAAAGAGCTGATTATGTTAAACACAATCAATGAGGCTGTTTACTTATTCAATTTGGAGTTTAAAATTCATGCAGCGTTCAGTGTTATCTTTAATTTTCCTTGACAGCGCGTTTATGCTAATGCGGCATATTAAAAAATAAAGATTCTAATTACAGAGACCAAATTCTAATGAGACAGTTGCAGATAATAAAGATTAGTTATATGATGTGCCTTGAACCATTATAAGCAACTTTTCTCACCCATGCCAATGTAGATGTTGATTCAAAGAAATTTCAGGGTTGTTCCCAATGAGAAACGGGTTTAAATGGCCCTGACAGGATGGAGGAAAAATTGCAGGGCAAGGTTGATTGTAGATTGCACCACATTTTCTTTTGCAACCACATTGAAAAGTCATTATGTAAATTGAAAGAAAGAAGCTGATTGCAATGTGGCATCATTTGACTTCAGTTACCCTTTTTGTCACACATACTACCATTCAAAAGTTTGGGGTCAGTAAGATTGTGTTTTTCTTTTGAAAGTCTCTGATGCACACCAAGGCTGTATTTATTTGATAAAAAATGCATTAAAACAGTAATATTATTACAATTTTAAATAACTAGTCTATTTTGATATAATCTTATCAATGTTTAATACAATTGTGCTGCTTAATATTTTTGTTGAAACTGGGATACTTTGAATAGAATGTTCAAAATAACACCCTTTATTTGAAATGGAAATCTTTTGTAAGGTTATAAATGTCTTTGCTGTCACTTTTGATCAATTTAATGCATTCTTTCTAAAAAAAAAAAAAAAAAAAACTCTCCCAAAACTTCTGAATAAGAGTATTTACACT